ACCTAATTGGTATGAACCGAGCTTCGTAAAGATTAAAAAACCCAGAACAGATTACGAAGATCGAAGTCCGTCTTTTGCACTTTAAGAGTTCAGACCCTGTTTTTATTCGTTCTCTCTCAACCCTCTAGTGCTCTTGTACTAGGAAGCTGCCAGTCCTGCCTTTCATGGCTGCTTCATTCGTCGTAATACTCTGTTTCGTTAGAGAAACTTATTCGTTTCAACATTTCTAAAAGCAGAGATTCATTATAATATTCTCCGCTAACAACTCCTCGTAGGCTTCTCGATCCTAAAAGAATTGTTTTTTCTTTTCATTTTATTTCTGTTAATACCCAGTGTGATAGCTGATTTGCTGATGTTATTGAACATTGAACTTGAAAATTTTTTGTCTTGCCTGTAAGGAATCAAAATAGATTTTTGTGCTTTCATCACTCCGAAGTTAAGCGAGTAAGCGCAAAATATATTCTTTCAGTTTACAACAGTAGTTGAAATAATAATATTTTTTTGAAAGGTAACTATATTCACATAACGTTTTGAAGCATTTAAGACCGACTCTCACCACGAATGTTTTCTCCATATCTTTACAAATGTTACCATAAAACGTTACTGTAGTCGTTATTGAGCGTTTGCTGTTTCCTTTTCGGGTCCCTAACTTTCTTCTGTGTATTGATCGTTGCATACAACCGTAGATTTCAATTGCAGATTACCTTGATGACTGATCATCTTAAAGCTTCAACATCTGCCGGAGCTTTCCGAANTGTTTCAGACGATGATATGTATGACTATGGAGATGACAGTGACGATGATTATGCTGAAGACGATGATGTTGACTCTGGCCAAGGAGAAAATTAATTTTACTCGACTCAAACATTAACCCTTTCCCCTCTTGTTTCCCCATCTTGTTTCCTCCGGTTTGCATGTGCGTTGAGGGTTCAAAATCATGTATTTTTCTGTATTTCGTATGTACATTCTTCTTAGGATATAACCGATTACCATTTCCTATCGATCTTAGATATCAATTTCACGTCTTGAAGAAAGATTTTGTACAAAGTGAGTCATACTAAAGTTGCCTGCGGAAGTTTTCGAAGATTTCAACACGGAAACAAGATAATTATTATCGTTTGCGTTCAACCATTTTGTATTTTGTCTGCGTGTGTGAGTGTATGCCTTTTTCGATAGATGTTCCCTGAGCAAAAAGTTTTCCAGTCAGAAGACATTCAATTCTTCACAAAGCTTGTTTTGTCCAGGGTCAGTTCGCTATCAGGAAATAAATTCATCAGTACGAATAATACGTGTTTTAATTTTGTTCAGGGAACAAGTGGAAACTATGCAAATACAAACATGTTGACCTCATAATTATTTTTCTAAGTCGTTTCATCAGAAAAATAGATAGCTTATAGGTGTTACTTTTTTTAATTCTTATTCTTTTTATCTCAGAAGAATGCATAAAACAGATCAAGGGTTCATCGTAATGGATAAACATGGCCAAATCGTTATCCGACGTAACGTGAACATAAGGACAAAAGTTCCCGCTTCAGACAAAGATAAAGGGATGATAGTTCGAATAGAAACAGCTGCATGTGTATGTTTTGCAGTAAGCATGAAGCAAACAGTAGTGACTTTAATTACCAAGTCGGAGAATACTGTTGTTCATCATGATTACAGAGGTTTCATCAAACGCTTGAAACCGTGGCACTATACTCACCACCCAAAACTTTGAAACGATGAATGAACCGGATAGTTCGTGGTTTTTCATTCGTAGATCATCACAAAGATGAAGGATAAGATGTAAAACACTCTGCCAACGTTTCTACGATTTATCTAATCTAGCTTTC